GACGAAAATAAGCTAAAAATTGCCATAGTGAACAATGACTTGTAGAAAAAGGCTTAAAAACCGCAAAAAAGAAAAGAAACTCTCCCCCCCACCCCAGAAAACGTTTTCTAAGCAGAAGGGTGGGTTGTAGTCGCGGTGCTTCACCGTTACATCCCTTTCTTGAGTCTTTGGGGCAAACTCAAAGATGGCGGGTTTAAGCGGGCCGAAGGCCCGCTCACATCATTCGATCATGTCCTTCAGCAAATCGCGTGACAGAAATGGTCGGGCCGCAGGCCCGACCATCGCCGCCGGCAGGCCAAGCAGGCCCGGCCCCTGCCGAACGGAGTTGCCGGCGGAGCGAAGCGGAGCTGGCAACTTCGTTTGGCGGAAGGGCGGGCCTGCTTGTTACCTTTTTGGAACATTTAGAAACTAGATAACACTTATTTCGGGGGAAACCTTTTGGGATCGTATGTGCACTGCCAAATTTTTAGTCTCCCCTTAACGAGAAACTCTCACATTCATTAACTTTACTAATGAATGGTCCATCACAAGCGGTGAGACGATTGTTTCGTCAGGTGACAACCCAATCGTAAAAGCGTGTAAAATGGATGTGTCGCCACATAACAGGAAAAGAGAAATTCGGTACGATGTTAATAGAACCTCGGACCTTTGGTGTGGAAACAAGCGCTCTCTAACCACGCGGCTGTCAAGGCTGGCTGTCCGGGGTAGGCCGTTTCATTTTGGAGGGTCAGGAGTTCGAACATGTCCCGGCCACCCTCCGCTGCTATGGTCCGCCCTGAGAATCTCACTCGCCTGTCACCTGCCGCTCATTCTCTCGGCTGACAGCGCCTGCAGCGCCACCCAGCGAGCACTGGCTGCGTGCAGCGGTGGTGAGCGGACTATACCGCTTCCCGCCAGGCCGGCGCCATAGTTTCGCGCGCACTACTCGGACCGGCGAGTCGCCGCTGGGCGCCGCTCGGATCGTTCCACTCGCATTATGGAGGTGAAGCAATAAAATGGTATGGACGGTCGAAGTGCGATTCGAAAGCTATGGGTCCAAGCTACATGCCGGCGCAAACCCCGACCGAAAAAATTGAACGGTACTCGTGCTAGAGCGAAGTACCTAGATTCCGAGTACTTACGACCTACGTTCTGAACGGGTGGAGTGGGGCGCGCGGTTGCAACTACGTCCGATGTGAAGTAGGTAGTCTCCACTGAAACGGGCGCGGTCGTAGGTTGCACCGTTTCGCCGCAGCGCGGCTTGAAACACGACACTCGTGGTACCCGCCAAAAGCGACGTGGAGCTTTGACCGCATGGTTCGGGGGGTCGTAAAACCTTCGGACACCGACTGAAATCCTTAGAATTTCCTACATTTTCATTTAAAATGCGTTCCAGCAAACCAATATTTTTTTTCGAAATAGCCTAGTCGAGGGGTGCCTAACTCCATAAAAATGTGCACACCGGATTACCAAATTGTTAAGATTACCAATGATTACCAAAGATTACCTATGTATACTAGGTATGATCCATCTGCATTCTAAATCGAAACGGAAAGTTTTTGTTCCGAGAAAGATGAATTTTTGTGCAACTCGCTGGTAGTTCTTGATTCTTTATCATGCAAGTTACAAATTTGCATTCTATGATTGACCAAATCTTGATTTTGTCCATGGGAGGGATTCAAAGTTACCTTATTAAATATGTGCGTTGGCATTGAGGCAAGATGTGCACAAAAAGTCATGTCTAAATCAACAAAGTTGTCCTTTGAAAGGACCCTCACGAGTGGGAGGATTACCAGGGATTACCAGTGATTACCAATGTGGTGTTTGCTCTCTAGTGTATTTCTTGCTTGAGTTCGCGGAGGATTAGGGCGAAGTGAACAGCTTCGATGTTGTACCAAGAATGCTTTATTCTCTCACTTAGAATTCGCAGGTAAACATAGAGAACACTGAGCGATGCTCATAACAGGCGGTGCCGCCAGTGGCGACCTCTGTGGTGTTTCATACACCGGTAAAAGCCATCTGGCGACACCAACCACATTTCTGGTACAGTTCGATGTTGTTTAATTCGCAGTGGAAGCAGGCCTTTTGCTCATGTGCACACATATTCCCTGACACCTGCTGGACCTCCCCCAGCCAGGTCACATTTGGTTTGAAGCGTTCGAAACAAATATAGCACATATCTGCTTCCAAGTTCTGGGAATAATCAGGGAGCTCATCACTTTCTGGGTCGGGCTCGGGCTCCTGTTCCTGCTCGGTTGCGTGTGGGGTACTGAAAGTTGGGCTCATCTCTCTTTTCCTTTGGAATCTTATTGGCATTCTTCTTATTGGACGGTGTGGAATCATCCTCCAGCCACTTCAATAACGAAGTGGCTTGTGATTCAAACACCTTCGATCCTTTGGCCAATGACAGGCTCTTCTTCGCCTTACATACAGGGCGGTTCTTCGGTAGGATGGGTTTAGGAGGGTTATCAACAAACTTTGAGTCTGATGAATCCTCTGTATCTGCACTGCATCCTCCTCGCTCCCTGTCTCCTGTGACTCCTCTGTATCTCCCTCAGTCTCATCGTCTTCAGTCATCTCATCTTCCTCAGCTTCCTCAACGACTGGATCAGTCTTTGATCTCTTCTTCTTTGAACTCTTAAGTTCGGAGGCTGTCTCATCTCCAATCTGCTTGCGTTTGGAGTTTTTGGGAGGTTTGACTCCATCCTTTTGGCTGCTCTCATAACTAGTGGTGACTGCTGCAACCAAAGGCTTCTTGGCAGCTGCTGATCTAGTAAATGGTCTTACAATGGGAGTTTCTTTTAGCTCGTCCAGATTATTTGTAAGTTTGTCACGCTTGAAAGTTATTGCACCCGCTGATGTTGACGGCTGCTCATAATCTTGAACTGGGTACTGCTTTGCTCCACTTGAACTTGCTGTTTTGGAAGGCTTTGAAGAGGGTGTTTCATACACGACATCCACACAGACTTTTATTATTTGCTTTAGTACATTGCAGAAGACACTTAACCTAAGACTTAACCTAGTAAATAAACAATAGAGAGAATAAGCGAGTGATTAATAGTTTTTATCACATAACATATAAACTAAACAATAAGAATAATAATAAAGTGATTGATGCTTTTTATCACTAGAATTTAAGAGTAAGTGATTAACAATTTTTATCACAGGTGATGCATTGGTAAAAACACGTTTCATCTATGTCAGGTGACCAAAAAGGTCATCAGAAGTGATGGTTCGTCACAATGTGACGCTTGGTTCATCTCAACCCTTGTGACAAACTATTCGTCACATTATTTTTCGTCAAATGACAATTCAGTTTTAACAGTGCACTTCCTTTTGTGTGCTTTCAAGTACGCACAAGGAAGAGTGTACTATGTACACAGTTTGGTTGACAGTGCAGTGGAATGTTTTGCAAAATTAGTCCAGTTTTATAATCATAATTGCCTCGGGTCTGCATGCAAAACGTTACCAAATGAAAGTGGTATAAACAATAGGGTTTTCAATGGAGGTCGTAAGTGAGGAGAGATGTAGTGGGGCACGTGCAGGGAGAAGGGGCTCGCTCTTTTGTAATGCTTGCAGACTACATTCATCGCAACCTTTCATAAAATTTTCGAGCTTTGTACTACCAAGAATTAGTTCGTATTCCAAAGAAATTTTTTGCAAGCTGTCAGAATCCTTGCAAACAATGTAATTGCGTTTAAAGAAATAGTTTGCAGGCTTATTGCAAAGAGCTAATTCGTATTAAATGCTTGAAAATTGTTTGCAAGCTGCAAAGAATATCGTTTGCTATACGAAAATATTTATTGCAAGCATTTGACAGTGCAGATATTTGGTGCGGCACGCCCAGCCGCCATTCCCCGCACACTAAATTTTGTTATGAACTTTTTATACACACTTACGTATTACCCTGTGCATGCTCTATTGCTTACTACTTTAAACGCAGGCATGATCAAAATTATTCATAGCTGCAGATATATATCAAAATTTGTTCATAATTACACCCAACATAATACGCAACAGAGCATGCACAGGGACATGGGACATGCGCATGTTGCGTACAAAAAAAATCCTTTACAATTTAGTGAGCGCGCATCCACAGCTGCTGTCTCAACTTGGTTCTGTTCCATCTTGTTTCTTTTTCGACTCAATATCATTAATTACTTGGTTCTTGATCTGGTAGTCCATGCTCTACAGGGGCGGCTGCGGTCGCTGTGGCGCTGCTGCTGCTCGCTCTACTCGTCTACTACATAAGGAGATGCTGTCGCCCCCGGCAACATGATGTTGAAGCAAATCAACATCCACTTGCCGACCTGAATAGAACTGAGGTAAGTCGAGATGGAATCTTTCCAAAGTGTTTCGACGAAAATCTGTCAATTTATTTTGAACTAAATATCGAAGCTATTAGAAGGGGGCCGTCCCGTTGCCCCGAATAAGCCCGTATCTCCGAACCTAAATAATCTTTCAGTAAACAAAGTAAGTAAAATGGGTAGTTTTAATACGTTATTTCACTTAAAGTTGCAGTTTTTGAAATCAAAGCTGTACAGGGACCACCATAGGAGGGCATTCGAAGTGCGTAACAGCACCTGTCTCTGTAGGCCCACCTGAAGTAGCTATTATTTCATCAACTGCATCTAAATTAAATATCAAATTGAAACTATTTTACTTATTTCATTTACTGATTTGGATTATTTTACTTCGGACGAACGAGCTTTGGACGGATCGTGCATAATTATGCACAAACTGTACATAGTTATGCATAAAATTATGAATAAAATAATGGCTGCTTAAAATTCTGCATGTTTATGCATGCCGCTCATCTCGGCCTTGTCTTCATTCCTTCCAGCCGGCGCCGAGGCTGCCCGCCGCTGCTAGCCACCTGGTCCGCGTCCACGTCCACCAGCCGCACTCGCCGCAGAGGCACCGGCGCGGCGCCCACCCGGCGGCGCCGGCCGTTCGCAAGACCGCCGCCGGCGTGCCACCGACCATCGACCTCCACGGCATGTCCGTCAAGACGGCCCTGGCGACCCTCGACACGTTCCTGCGCCGCGAGGCGAGGGACCGGCCGCGCGCGGGCCACGTCTGCGTCATCACCGGCAGGGGCCTCCACAGCGCGGGCGGCGTGGCCAAGATAAGGCCGGCCGTCGTCAGGGAACTGGAAGCGAGGGGCTTGCGGTAATTACACTCTAAATCTTTTACAAAGAATTTGTTCGTTTAATGCAAAGAATTCTGTGCAACCGTAATAGACAGAAAATTTCCTTGTATTACAAGAAATTTCCTTGTATTGCACAAAAGTTTTCTTTGTATTACAATGATTTTTCTTTGTATTACAACGAAAATTTGGCTTTGTATTACGGTTGCACAAAATTCTTTGTAATACAAGTATTTTCTTTGTAATACAAGAATTTTCTTTGTAATACAAGAATTTTCTTTGTAATACAAGAATTTTCTTTGTAATACAAGAATTTTCTTTGTAATA